AGTCATATTGTCATTGCAATATTGAACAATGTTACTGTCTATCACAGCTTTTCCTCATATTGTGCAGGTTGTAGTTGTAACAAAACAGTCAAGCACAATGCCCACATCACTGCAGAGGCTGCACATATCCGCTTGTTGATCTCATGCTCTGTCTTCGCACCGTAGCCTCAGATCCGGAATGCATGGTCCAGTGAAGCCAACAGAAACACTTCATTGGCAGTAAGCAGAAATGCAAACTTTGGCAGAGCCCAAACGCCCACAGACACAGCTCTCACTCCAGGTATACAAGGACAGAATTTGTCAGATTAATTGTCCTAGTACAACCACAAACACCCAATGGGACATGCTTAATAAGCCTTCTCCAAGTCTTCAAAACACATATACTGGGTGAGCAAAGTCCCTCCAGCACCCCTGCAAGACTAAAAGCTGGACCACACTTCACAAACCAGGATGGAGCTGGCATGGAACCAAGCCTTGAAAAACCTCCTAACAGCTTCCCTAACCACTGCTGGCTAACAGTAAGTTCTTGGGGTTACACTGGGTGATACAGATCAATCAGTTTACATTTCTGGTTTTGATGGGAAATGTTTAAAATAACACACACAAAAAAAGAAAGGTATTAAATATATCTTAAGAAAGTACACAAATATATGTCAAAATACATTTGGTGTGACTTGGTGATACTATTACCAGCAGACTGAAGGCTCGTTGAGCAATCAGATGAAGGTCACTGAATGCACATTTGCTGTTTCTGGTCCATTTGCTAAAGAGAAAGTGATGTGCTTACAACAAACATTTCAGACAGTCTGAGACCTGGCAATTTTGGATGCATTGATAGTGCGCATCACACACATTCAGCCTTGCAGCGGGCACACTGCTTAGCAACCGTCACTCTAATAAAATTAAGAAAAACACAAAAGTGTGTGCTAGACTTATGTGTGCTCAGGAATATTTTTAGACCTAGTATCTAGTATATAGTTGCCAGAGCATATAAAAAATTGATTGATTGACTCAACTGCACTGCTCCAGATCTAAACTTAGATCAAAATGCAATATATGGCAAAGTTAAATGGGAAGAGGGAAGTAGAAAACAGCGAGAGCAAATAATGCTTACTTTGATGACTTCTCAAATTAAGTCCTTTTAATCTAGGCCCCTTGAAATTTTACTTTTTGACTTTATGACCTATACTTGTTGGCAGCCCTCTTTAATGAAGCAGTTAGAAAGTGACAGCAGATAATCAGACTGCTGCTCTGCTCCCTTTGTCAGTTTCAACCTCTCAGTAGCCTTTAATGGAAAGGCCAGAGGCACAGAAGCACACAGAAAACCGCTTTATCCATGAACATTGCATCACAATTTCTGAGATTTCGTCTGTGGTGCCACAGTGTGAAACGCCCATTACATGTCAATGATGATTATGTCCCCTGCAATCTCAAGTCTATATTACCTTCTCTCTGTGGTTGTGTGAGCAGTCTGACTGGTTATGTCCACACTCTGCAGGATTTTGATCATGACCACTACCAAATCTGATTTTGAAGATAAATACAAACAATATTTCCAGTCACTCCATTATAGCATAATTACATGATGAGTCAAATTAAAAAAGCCAAGTCTAATCATTGTGTCTGAACATTTCTGAATAGATATTTTGAATGTGTGTAAATTACAAGAGAGAGGCCTGAGATATTGTTGCTGGAGGAGATTTAAGTGCCACTCTCCCAATGGCTATAAGAGGGCTTTCAGTGGGGGCAGGTATTTTGGAAAGTGTCAGCGCATGAGAAAAATGGCAGTTCTCAGCAGAGACCACTCCACACATGCACCTACACCCACACATACACCCTCACATTCTCCCTTTCTTTATTGTTCTCTTGTTCATTTCTGTCTCTCTCTACTCCCCCTTCGCTGTATGATATTCTCTCGTTAATCAGAATACATTCACAAGTGACACGATGTCCTTATGCAATCTTTCACCTTGTCCTCCTCCTCACAGTGCTTTTCGCTGTTTTTTCCAACTATTTTTGCCTCTCCCTCTCTGTCTCTCCTTGCCTCCTAAGCCTATTTTTTTCTGGACGCCCTGTTTGACCTCTTTGTACCGACCTTCCTATTTAAACAAGCCCACAAGCCGAGCTTCACCCAGCTAGTGACATCATTGCCAGTTAATGTGCAGAAGCAGCACCTGTCTCCATAATGATACAGTGCTCACTGCTTACGTTTGTTTCCCCTCTCCTTCCCTGTCTCTCTGTCTCTCTCTTACTGCGGACCTGAGATGAATTTGCTGATAACACAGCCCCTCAGTTCCCTGTTCCCATTCTGATGAAACTTGTGGTGATATACATGGCCTTGGCCACTGCAGGGGTTGTTGGTGTGTGTGTGTGTGTGTGTGATTGTGTTTTTCCTGAGTCTGCACATTTACAACACCCAGGAAATGACCGAAGACCTAATGCACCAGCTGGTTCGTGCTGAAAGAGAGAGTGTCACATGTGCTCATACAAACGTACTTAACTTAAAAATGTGCATGGATCGGTCCATATAACTAATATCAGGTAGATGATCTGCTCTGTTCAGTTCCAAATAACTCTCAAAGAACAAATGTACACAATTGTAATCAAATCTTTCAGCATGCAGTGCGCCCTGGTAGCTCGCCAGGTAGAGGTCCTTGCTGCTGCGGCCATGGGTTCAACTCCAACCTGTGGACCTTTGCTGCGTGTCATCCCCTCTCTCTCTCTATTACTATCAACTATTGATTAAAGGTGCTGAGAAGTAAAAGTAGTACTCCATTATGAGTCCAGCATTGAAAAGCTTACTAGATCTAGCTGTGTAGTTGCTGATTGCAGATCCCTTGGTTCACCCTCCCCTTCCAAGTGCAAAGGAGAAACTATCTAAAGCCAGTGGGTTTTTCCATTCTGGGCGACTGTAGAAACATGGCAGTCCAACATGGCAGCCTAAAAGGCTGTAGATATAAAAGACTAATTTGAAGGTAACAAAAACATAATGATTCTTACTATCATTGATTAAACACTAATGAAAACATAGTTATACACATCATATTCCATTTCTGTCAAGAGATCCTTCAAAATGTTGCAAACTGGACCTTAAAAAGGTAAAAGATAAATGTAGTGGAGTAAAGAGTAAAATAGTTAATTCTCAAATGTAGTGTATAAATGATCAGAAAAATGAAAATACTCAAGTACAAGTACCTCAAAACTGTATACATACAGTACTTGAGTAAATGTATTTAGTTATATTCGATCACTGCAGATCAGGACCACATATGGTAACAAGCTTGCACACCACACTAACCAAAAAGCCAGCAGTGTTCTCTTTTTTTTTTTTTTTTTTGTCAAACAATGACTTGTGAACACTCTAAGTATCATCACAACATCGACAGACGCTAATAGGAGAGAAGAGCGAATTGGCAGCCAAACAGACCCCTAAGCAGGACACTCTAATGAGGAAAAAAAGGAGCCCTTGGGGCTCTCTGGGTGACACTAGAGATCCATACTGGAGTTGGCAGCCTTACAGCATCCACAATCCAAAAGATGCGTTTGTACTGGTGCCATGGTTAGCTACTTTTCCTCTCTACAAGACTCCAGCTCCTTGAAAGAAGCTTTTGTCATGAAAGGGCTGGAACACGGAAACAGACTACAGATAAACTGCTGTAACTGTGTTTGTCTGGAGAGCTGGTGATGCTGACGTGAGACACGTTTGACCACCCACTTGAACAAGAGTCTGGAAATAAATAAAGACTTTTCGGGATGATTCATGGTGACGCAGGAGACTGAACACTAACAGCAGATGACTATGAAGCATGATAATATTCACTGTTGACCACTGGAGCCATATTGTAGCATCGGTCCATATAACTAATATAAGGACTGGAAGGTATGAATGTATTAAATGCAAAAGCAATAACAATTCAGATTATCCTACGAATGCCATGAAATATATACAAGCAACTACTGACTCAGCTCACTGAATTGAAATATTTTATGAATTTGCATCAGTTTGTTAGTGTAAACAGCTGGGGCAAGAGGTTTAAATGTACCTTAGGTACAATTATAAGTTGGTTGTAGTAGAGTCAGGAAGAAACTATGAAAAAATGTGGGAGTAAATTGATCATTCAAACAAATCTTGAGTTATGAAAGATTAAAACTGAACTTTAAATTACCCCTATTTTTAACAGCATTATTTTGTGTATATATTCTTACTTCCCTTCAACAAGAATTGAATAAAATGTAAATAAAGTTTAGTAAAATTTCAAACTTTTTAAACACAGATTATATCAAACTTGCATTTACTGACACCATACTGAGTTGTTACATTGTTTTCACAGATACAATTTATGTATTTATACTTTTCAGCCAGGACTATTATTTACTCCCTGTATAATTACTGTGCACACTGCAGTGAGAGTTATAATTTCTGCCCTGCTGGTCCACCAAAGCATGCAACCAGAAGCCAAACTGCAAGAATACAAACTGCACAACATAACAAGCAGTGGTCAATTATTTGTTCTGTTCCTGACTCAATAATAATGTGCACACAGAGTACATTAAGAAGCAGCATTTGTTATAGTGATTATTTGAAAAGCTGCCTGTGTTGTTTTTCAAAGGACTTGCTGGGTTCATTAGCCGCTGTTAGCTAGAATAATGTGTAATGGATGCCTATTGCTCCAACGACAGGTGCAAGCAGCAAATACTGAGAAGGGAGAGGAAGTGATGACTGCAGATGTACTAATATTAGCTACGATTGCTTTCTTTTATCCTTGGTAAAGGCACTTTGTCTCAAACATAAGCTCTTGAAGATTTCCTCAGGGCAAAATGTATTTGCAAGTGCAAGTGCATATTTATATTTATCTATTTTCTCACCACTGCTGATGTTAATTCTTGGATGCATTTGTATGCCCCGCCTTGCTACAACATCCTCCCATGGTGGTACAGCAGGAAGAAAAACGACTTTTAAGACAACCAGCTCTGGTTGAACAGAACTGATAAGGTCTTACCTTTGTCCAGGGAAGCATCCGGAGAGTTGAAGTCCATTAGACTGCTGATTTCAGTCTTGTAGCAGAGGTCAGTGGCCGGAGGCTTCTGCCTTGGCTGGGAAGAGGGATCTAGGAGAAAAGCAAATCATGAACAAGGTTAACTTACTGACGACAAATGAAGGGATTCAGAAAGAAAACAAAGATAGACAGATAGCGGGATTCATCTGCATTCTTGGAAATAAGATTTGAGGTCAAACATGTGTAACAAGATCATGTGAAAATAATAAATAATCTAAAATAAATACAAGAGAATTGACCTGTGACATTTTTGAATATATCTCTCACTGTTTATAATTAGCTTAATGTGTTTCTGTGTGTGTGTTGAAGCCTGTAGAATAGACTTACAATTTTTTTTTCTTACATTTAAAAACTAATGTGGAGACAGCAAAAGCAAAATGATAACGAGATAAAAAGCCTGTATACACCCAAACTGCATGAATGAATGATATATTAAAGTCCTCGTCAGAGTAAGTTTTCCTCCATGCACAGAATGCACAGGGACATTTGGGAAACAAAATGATTAATGCGGCAAACCACACCATCCCTCTCAATACACCCATAATGAACTTTTACTCCTCACTCCTTACACTGTACTAACTCCACAGTAGCTAACCATTCATCAACACAGCTACTGTCTCTGGGGAGAACACACTGCTGTAGCAAAACCATACAAGCTTAAACAGGCACACAAACAAAGTTGTTACTTTGAGACTGCTGCATATAAATATTAGCATTTTTATGACCACAGTGTGATTTGATTTCTGGTGGGGTTCAGTGGTTTCTAATATAGTTTTGGCCAGCCTCACCAGTGGCACGCAGTGAATGCATATTGAATGCATTGCTCCAGGTCAGCACACATAAAAGTGTTTACTAAAATGACTTTGTCACTTCAACATGTGCAGTCCACGTCTACCGCTCTCCCGGTCGAGCCGACAGACGCATGGAGAGCTTTATTCCAAAGTAAAATGCGCAAAAGGTCAATCCAAGTCCTACAAGACCCAATCTTTGAAGAAAAGTTGTCTTTGGTTGGAAAAAATTATGAAAGGATTTAAGATTCTGCTTTGCTCACACACACACACACACAGACACACAGACACACACAGACACACAGACACACAGACACACAGACACACACACACACACACACACACACACACACACACACACACACACACACAGTTAAGTTCAGATTCTAGCAGACTACATCCCTTCCACATCACTCTTCAACCTCTGCTCTTCTCTGGCCTCCTCCTCCTCCTCCTCCTCCTCCTCCTGTTCTTTCTGCCATCACTCCGCCACCCACCCACTAAGATGTTGTTACTGGTTGAATTATTTGCTCTAATTGAGCACAGATGTGCCTGGGTGAAGAGCTCGAGGTGTCTGCTGTCATTATGGCAAGATTAGTCTTCACGCTGGTCGAGATGGACGTTGTATGGCTACGAATAACATCCTGGCTGCCTGTCCCCACCTGAGGTGATTGTTAAGAGCACATGAGGGCTGTTTTTAAAACTACGCATAACACTTTGCCACACAACACCTTGCAAATGTATGAGTTTTCAAACTTGCCCACGGTGCAGCCTTTGGCACCGGGAACACAGTTGTCACTTTTTTGAATAATGTAAAAATTCATAGCGCACACTTATCTGGTATGCTGCCCAGTAGCCTCATGAAAATGTTTTATCTTCCCTGCATCGTGCCCTTGACAAGCTCTCACCAACATTTAGAAACTTACCAAGAGAAAAGAGGGAAGAGTATGGTGGAATAAATGAAAAGGAACAAGTAAACTATGATGGTTGCTTAATGGGAATGGAGAGAAAAATCTGCAATGAAGGAGAGCAGGAAGAATATGCTAGATTGGACTTGACATTTTGTTTACTGTATAAGCAATGAAGTTAGGCTGAAACTAAAATATTAGGTGAAAAATGTTGAAAATGACAGCAGAGAACTTGGTTTGATGTATTACTTAACTCATGCAGTATTTTTAAATTAAAGTTCAACTTTGGCATTTTCATAAATTGTGACTTTCACCTTTTTACGTTTCTTACAAACTGCTTACTGCCACACTGTTGCATCAGAAATAGAAGTGAAAATAGCCTATTAAACCTAAGATAAATGAAATTGCACACACATTTTCTCACTATTAATATGACCTAAATGTGATATTGCAATTGAAACAATACCTTTTTTGTGAGTAACATATTGCCCAATTTGATTACATTGGCTAATCAACAAAAAAAACTATTTTGCATCCGACTATTATGTGAGAGATTTCCCATTATTGCACAGAACACAAAAACAATCCAAATCATGGTTTAGGCACATAGGGAACATTTACTGTGTCACAATTATGAAGGGATGTTTTTCTACGCTGGAATCCTACTTTGAGATATAGACTGTTAAACAATTTTTCCTTTTTGATGACTTGTGTTCCCCGGTAGAGCAATTGGATGTGAGAGGTAAGGAGAGAGAACAGTCAGGCTGCTGTTCTTCTTATTGCTCCAGCTTTCAGACCATGTAGTGATGTGTGCAGCGATGTGTGTATGTGCAAGAGCATCGCAATGAAAATGGCCTTCTTTAAGCTACACTGAGTTATCAAGCAGGTAATTGTAATGTTTACTGGGTCACTGTCCATGCCTCTGAATCAATGTCCTTTTCAACACACTGAATATTTGGGTCTCATAAGGTCCAAGTGCCTCATATTGATCTTATAGTCTTAATCTCAGCTCACTTAAGTTAAAGAAACACTACAGACAGTGACGCACAGAGCAGATACACACACAGTGGGTGGGAGACAAAGACCGGGTGAGATATCAGGGGCCGATAGTATAGAAGAGTTGTAGAAATAATCAAAAACATAATCTCTTTTGTTGCTCTGGCTCCCTGCACTTTCTACCTGCTCTGCCGCACCTGAATGAGAGTGAAGCTTTCTACAAACCTTTACTTATGCTTGTCATATAAATCACATTTGGGGTGATCTATTAAGGATTTGAGATAAGAGTACAATTTCCTCTCTCTGCTTCCATCTTCACTCTGTTCTTTCCTCATTTCCTAACATGCCAGTGGGAATATTATCTGACAGAGACACAAGCTCGCCTAGCATCTCACTGTGAGTGTGGATGCCTGCTGCAGTTTTCTTTTTCAGTCTGGCATAAACTTAGAGAATATATGTAGGTGTACAGAAGTAAACGACTCTTACATTATACATTGTAATTAAAAAAAAAAGAGAGCAGTTTGGAAATTCTCCAGGTTGGTATTGGAAGATCGTCCATCTTTTTCTCATTTAATTGAAATTCCTGAGAACTGTTCCAGTAAATAATTTCAGCTGTCTGAAGCTCCTCTTTTAAGCTACAAAGAGAAACACAGGCCTGTGGGAAATAATTTGATGTTCACATCGCTTTTATCAGCTCTGTCCTTACTGCTTCTTAACATTAAAGTTCTATTTGCTATTATTTCTGCAAAACGGTTTATGTACACACAATAGCAGTGAAGGCATGGATGGTAAAAACTCTTTCAAGATATGCTTTGAAAGTAATGAACTGCACTGCAGCGTTTTGGGTTGGTTTTTTTTAACGCTGCTGAGAATTTATCACACTTTATGGTTTGGCTTCATTTTCCTCACCATCAAACTTCCTCGATTCCCTTTATCAATAATAAGCGGTTTAACCAGCCGAGCACACAACTGAGGGAAAAGGTAATTCTGCTGTGATGAAATAAATAACGATTTGGCCCAGAGACTAAAACAACTGGTACCTCATGTGGCTTTGTAATGATGTAATTATCCAAATCACTGTGTCCTTCCCAAACAGGGTCTACTTGCATTGAAAGAACAACTTTCATACTTAAAACCGTTCCTTCCCAGCGTGAATACCACTTATGGGAAATGTACTTACTATTTAGTCTTAAGCCTGCAGGTACAGAGATGATGTGTGCAGTTTTGGTTAGAATTAGACTGCTATATCAGGCGATATTAGCTCATTGCTAATATTTCGTAATGTCTGTATGTCCGCTGATAAGGACTTAGAAAGAAAAAGAAATTGCAGCACAAAAATAAAGTCATTTAGAAAATGTTTCCGGGACATAGTCTGATAACTGTAATATTTGCTTAGTATTTATTTTTATCTCAATCTTGTAAAAAAAAAATCTAAGGGATCTAATGGGAAAGAAAGACACTATCTTCTGCTACACTGTTATCAAATTTATTTAACTACCATATATCAGTATCTGCTTCAAAAATCCAGTGTTGTTCAGGCTATATTTCTAGTATTAATGTAACTCCTAAGACTCCATGCTTGACTATGAATACCTCCTTACAGTATATGCATATATAAGATAAATGTTTATTGTAAGGCCAAAGTCCAAAGGCAAAAGGTAAAACAGATGCAAAGTGCAGATGCATTCTGACAAACACACATACACACACACACACACACACACACACACACACACACACACACACACACACACACACACACACACACACACACACACACACACACACACACAGTACACTAACTGCATTCATTGGTGTTGTTAGGTCTGTGTCATCTTTAAATTAGTAATGAAATACTCAACAAAAACACTACAGTTTTTAATTTGCTTGTTCCAGCCTTAAATGGAAGGATTTGCTGCATTCTTCTTTTATATCATTGTAAACTGAATCTTTTTTGGTTTTGAGGCGTTGGTTGGACAGGTCAAGTCTGTTACATTTAGGACAATATAATGGTAGAAATTGAATATCATATTCATAGGTATGTTTTCATTCGTGTATAATGAAAATAGGAATCGATGTGGTTTTGTAACCTTAGAGTGAGCCGTTTTTAACAACAGAGGGAGCAGGTCCTCGTCTACAAAGTCCGCCATCTTGTTTTTAAAGTAGCCAATAAGGGACAAACCTAGTGCTGTGTTTTTTATGCATTTCATTGCCACACTTGCAAGGGGAGGGTGAAACAATGGAGCAATCTGTAACTGCAACACTAGATGCAACTAAATCCTTTTCCCCCTGGTTAACACACTTTTTGTCTGACCATGAAAACTGTTCTTCTTCAGAATGAGAGAGACAACAGATGTGC